AGTTGTAATTGACCCAAAGTCACACCAGCAGCTGCATGTGGAGGAGTGGGGAATCAAACCCAGTTCTCCCAGATTAGAGTCCGCATTCCTAACCACTACACCATACTGGCTTTACTACAGTAAAAGTGCCTGTGTTTCTACCGCAAATGAACCAAGTCTTTTATGTAATGTTTAAGTCTTTTCTGTAAAGTTTGCATGCCTAAAAATGCACAATAAAATACTCTTGGAAACTGAAAATTACCTAAACTCATGAGCAAATGTTTCTTGCATGTTTTCAGAAACATGATCACCCTTCAAAATATGATGTGAAAAATATGGCCTGGGACCCAGTTTATACTATTACAAAAGAAGTATCATACTTAAAAAAAAATACATATCTGCAAGTCATTGCACAGAATATTTCATCCTTTGCGATTGGGGGGGTGAGCCCCCTGGCAGCTCTCATTGGTCTGCAACTGACCAAGTAAGCCCTATTTTGACGCTGGGCCTGGTAATGGACATCAGATGATGTGGTACATCAGGTGTGTGGACATCAGGTCGGTGGAACAATAGAAAACTTTTTGAATTGTGGCTCAAAAAGATAAAATGTAGTTCCTTAGGAGATGTGTTCATACCTACTGGCTGGGCTACCACCAATGAGAGATGGATTTGGGGCAGAGCTTGAATACAGAGTTAGGGAACAAACGTATAGACAGAAATCTCTAAGTCCTAAACTTAGGTACAAAAAATCTAAGACACAGATATAGAATGGGAGGGACCTGGCTTGACAGCAGCACATGTGAAAGGGATCTAGGTGTTCTGGTTGATCACAAGCTAAACATGAGCCTGCAGTGTGATGTGACTGCGAAGAAAGCTAATGCAATCTTAGGATGCATTAACAGAAGCACTGTGTCCAGATCACGGGAGGTGGTAGTTCCACTCTATTCTGCTATGGTCAGGCCTCACCTGGAGTACTCTGTCCAATTTTGGGCACCACATTTTAGGAAGGATGTTGACAAGTTCAAGCATGTCCAGAAGAGGGCAACCAGGATAATGAGAGGGTTGGAATCCAAGTGTTACGAGAAAAGGCTGAAAGAGTTGGGTATGTTTAGCCTGGGAAAGAGAAGGCTTAGAGGGGACATGATTGCAGTCTTCAAATATTTGAAGGGCTGTCATGTAGAAGATGGAGCAGATCTGTTCTCTCTTGCTCCGGACTGCAAGACTAGATCTAATGGGTGGAAATTACAAGGGAGTCGATACCAGCTAAATATCAGGAGAAACTTCCTAACTGTAAGAGTGGTTGAGCAGTGGAACCGACTGCCTCAGGAGGTGGTGGACATTCCTTCGCTGGACGTTTTCAAGTGGAGGCTGGACGACCATCTTTCGGGATGTTGTAGGGCTATCTTTTGGCTATGTTCCTGCAGAGTGCAGGGGGTTGGACTAGATGACCTGCAAGGTCCCTTCCAACTCTAACATTCTATGAAATCTATGAAATACTAGAATAATATTAACCCCTATGTTACCAGTTTGATTTGGGAAATCCATTGATCTGTACCTGCTGGGCAGGGCCAGCCCTGATTCCAATAGCAAAAGAGGGGAAACGGTGAAATATGATGGTGGAGCAGGCCACATTTGGTCCTTCATGCAGTAAGTTTAGCAGTGCAAGAGCACTGCCATGCACTATGGACACTAGGTCTAAATGTAAATAGCACATGTGCTTTTCATCTAGTGCTGACATTATTGTTTGCTAGCAGCAGTCCAAGAGAAGTATCTGATAGTACCCAATTAGTTTGCTCTACTTACTTCATGGACTTCTAAAAGTTAAAAAAAATATTTTTAGCTTACTGTTACTGTTTTTATTGCATGTATTTTTAAAAGTATGTTATGAGTCACCGTTAAACTTTGCTGGTAGCAAGGTGGGAAAACAAAACTGTATTTACCCAGTTTGGTGACAAAGCACAGAGACAAGATATCCTGTGTGCAGAAGACATGTCCCCAAGTTGACCAAAGACATTTTGGTGACTAGAGCAGAAAATCCAGTAGTGGTAAGGAGGTGTGTTACAAATACAGTTTAGAAAAATGTCATCCGTGCGTTCCAACAAAATATAAATAAAATTATAAAAGTATATCTTGTAAGAGTACAAATAACAGTATAAAATTGTAAGCATATATCTTACTGGTTTGCTGCACAGTATTGTACCAGTTTCACCTTCTTGCTTCTTAACTGTGCCTAGAAAACAAGCATCATGAAACCAGTGAAAGCAATCTTTGAATAACTCTCATTTGTAAATTAAAGCATTTAATGCTGGTATGTTGGTCAGTTCTCCGCTATATAAAGTTGCTGTAACAATATCAAATTCAGATACAGGTTTCTTAACTTTATAACATAATACCTTTTTGTATTGATATAATTAATTACTTAGGATTCTATTCTGTTCCATCTCCTTCCCTCACACAAACACACTTCTATGGTAGCTTTATTTGCTGTGGGGTTGTTTGCTCAGTACAACAGTGCCACCACCTCCAAATTTCAGCCTTCATGAGGCTTGGACATCATGAATGTAGACACTGACAGGAAACATGCTCATAATTCACACATGGAAGACTATTTATTTATTTATTTATTTATTAAATTTATATCCCGCCCTCCCCCGTAGGGCTCAGGGCAGCTTACATGGCAAGAAATCTTGTGTAATAAAACATCAAATAATTTAGTAGCATTTAAGAACATATTATGCAATTTAAAACCATCTCAATAAAATAAAGTGCTCAAAAACCTCAATTCCGGAACCTCAGAGAGATGACAACCACATCCAAACATCCCCGGTAGGCATTCCGCGTCTTCAATGTGAGATGTTAAATTCAGATGTTTCCTCCTTCCTTCCTAGGGCCTTCCCCCCCAATGATGGTAATGTAACGGGGGGAGCGTTACAGTGGTCTAGTCTCGAGGTGACCGTCGCGTGGATCACTGTGGCCAGATCATCACGGTCCAGGTAGGGGACTAACTGCTGAGGCCGCCGAAGATGGAAAAAGGCGGACTTGACAGTAGCTGCCACCTGTGCCTCCATCGTTAAGGCAGAGTCCAGGTGAACTCCCAAACTCCGAACCCCAGACGCAGGCACCAAAGGCACCCCATCGAAGGTCGGGAGAGGGAGCCCCACTCCTGTCCCGGTCCGACTCAGGCCCAGGACCTCCGTCTTCGCCGGGTTTAGTTTCAATCGACTCAGTCGGAGCCAACCAGCCACAGCTCCAAGTGCCCGATGTAGGTCATCGGGACTAGAGTCCGACCGGCCGCCCAGCATCAGATAGAGCTGGGTGTCATCCGCATATTGGTGACATCCCAGCCCATAACTATGGATAATCTGGGCAAGGGGGCGCATATAAATGTTGAATAGCATCGGGGACAGCACTGCCCCCTGTGGTACCCCACACTCAATGGGATACCTACGGGAGCGCTGGTCCCCGAAAGCCACCCTTTGACCTCGACCTTGCAGGAAAGAGGCAAACCATTGAAGGGCAAGCCCCCGAATCCCCACATCGGCAAGGCGATGGGTCAGCAACTAGTGGTCGACAGTGTCAAACGCTGCCGACAGATCTAACAGCACCAGTGCTGCCACACCGCCTCGATCCAGATGTCTCCGGAGATCGTCAGTCAGGGCAACCAAAGCCGTCTCGGTCCCGTGGCCCGGGCAGAAGCCGGACTGGAAGGGATCTAAGACTGAAGCATCCTCCAGAAAGCCCTGTAACTGTAACGCCACCGCCCTCTCTATCAATTTGCCCAAATAGGGCAAATTAGACACCGGCCGATAGTTGGCCAATTCGGCCGGGTCCAGAGATGTTTCTTTTAAGAGAGGGTGGACCATCGCGTCCTTGAGCGCTATGGGAGCAATCTAATCAAATAGGTCCAGAGGCATGTGGTGAATATGTACACAAACATGTGAAAGGTTGACATGAATGGGACCTACTTAAGCACTTAAACATGAAAGTCCCACATTTCACTATGGATTATATTTGTGGTAGGGGAGGATAGACCCTGCCAAATAACCAAATCATCCTTGGCCAACTGTGAACTGGCCAGATCATTTTTATTTACTTCATTTCTACCCCCCTTTTATCCCCAATGGGGTCCCAATGTGTCTTACAACATTCTCTTTTTCTACGTTAGGCTGGATGTGTGTGACAGGCCAAAGGTTCCATTCAGAGTAAGGATGGAACACTGTCCCTCAGATCCTAGTTCAACACTATATTATTTACAAAACATTTGTGTTTGATCCTAAGGCTCACTTTGTTTGTGCTACATTTCTGCCCCCTCCCCCTGCAGACTTCCAGCAGGCACCCCATGCTGTTTCCAGGGGTCCACTGACACCCCCACCCCCAAGCAGGATTACAAGAAACACAGAAAGCTGCAGTGAGGAGCAGTGTTCCCTGTTCCCTCTAAGGTGAGTTATTGTGAGCTGACTCACAGGTTTTTAGCCTGTGGCTCACACATTTCTGTCTGAGCTCAGGAAGGCTGGCTCTGGAGCAACCTAACCTATGCAGGAGCCAAACCGCTCACTCGCAACTCTAATGCCAGTAGCCCATAAAGTAGGATTTTTGCTCACAAGACTCCACAGCTTAGAGGGAACATTGGTGAGGAGTTGGGGAAAAAAATTTTTAGGAGAGCATTGCTTAGGAGACAGTGCTTAGGAACCCACCATTTTGTAATAGTTATATTATTATAAGGATCTGCCACACATAGTAAAAGGCCAAAATATTAAAATTAAAGATAAATAAATGAATTAATATGTGCATGTAAAACAATACAAGTCAATGGGCTGGATCCAACCAGCTTTTTCATTCCATCTCACCCAATTCCTCTTGCTGTCGCAGCCCCTATTTCTTATGGCTTTTGTACCTGCAGGTCCCAGAAACCCAAGTACGGCTGTTTTAGGTGGTCAGACAGAATCCCTCCATTTTCCCCCAGCTGAAAAGCTCCTTGGATCCAACGCAATGTATAAAGACAAATCAGAATCCAGAGATACCCTTTTTTGATAAGTAGCACATTTCAAGCCTTTCCTGAGCAGAACAGGCAAGCAATTTGTTTCCTTCTTCCAGTGCACTTTCAAACCAGGCTTTTTTCCTCTTACATATGTCAGGCTATGAAACAAAAAAGTTGTGTTAGTGACTGGCACCTTTTTTCTGAAATTTTGTATTCGTTTAAGAATGTGCAAAAATGAAACAGAATGAATAAATTTGTAATTTGGGGTCTTATGGATCATGCAATTGCATGATCCCTGAATCTAAAGCATAAAGAATCAGTTATAAAATCTTGATACTTAAAACAGCTTGTCCATTATTAGACATTTGTGCCTGTTTCCTGTCACAAAATAGAGCCATGCGGCTACTTCATCTGGCAGACTTGATATATCATTAAAGGATAACAAATGTAACATCTTTTTTATTATTCGGGAGGAGGGAGTTCAGATGCCAATATATTTTGGGCTGGACCAAGATGGAGAATGTTGGTAGCCAGCGAAAATATGGGAGGAACTCAATTAAAAGTCTGGGCAAATAAAAATATTTTGATCTGTCATCTAAAGGCTGAAAGAGGTGCCAGGAAAACCTGCAGGAGGAAGGCATAGGCAAGGGATTTCTATTTTAAAAGCCATGAGTCTAGTTGCCACCAATCTCCCTTCTATGGGTGGGGGCATAGACAGCAAGGACTGAAATGAAGATCTTTACTCACAAACTGGACGGTACAAGTGATCAATTATACGTTTATGCTGTCTTTTCATCCAATGTAGGATCCCAAGGGAGAAAATAAAAAACATTAAGCACTAAAAAACTTTAAAATCATCTCTCTCTTTCTCTCTCTCTCCATGCACACACACACACAAACACACTCTTAGTGATATGTAGGCCCCATCTTTGGATATCTAAATCCATGGATCAGGACAACACGGATACTAAACAGGTTTTTCAGCAGACCCCGGTTTGCAGAAAAATCTGAAATGTTCCAAAAAACACATGTTCCAAAAAGCAAAAAACCCCACAAATATTCCAAAAAACTACCTCCGGCAGTTGGCATCAGCCACACTGGGTCCAGCAGCAGTGGCAATGCAATCTAGGACTCCACACTAGGTTTGGCAGTGGTAGCTGCACAGCCCAGGGATACATGCTGGGCCTGGTGGTGGCACTTGCGCCACCCAGGAGTCGTGCTGGGTGTGGACCTGGCACAAAAGTAGGGGGAAGGAATCCCCCCATGAGTATCGCAGGCCTATATGCACATACATGTGTGTGTATATAAAAATAAAACAAAACACAAAAGCAGGAAAGTTCGTTGAAATAAAACAGAGAACTCTTAATGCACTGACAGAACAATAACAGAGGGAGTCATATGAATATCCCTGGTGAGGGGACTCCATAGTTTTGGTGCCATAACCAAAGAAAGCCCTTTCACAGGTTGCCAACCATCTAGCCTCATGTGATGCGGGCACCTGAAACAGGAAATAGAGTCTCCACTTGAGACCCTGGAAAGCCATTACCAGTCTGAGTAGACAGTACTGACCTTGCTGGACCAATGGTCTAATTCAGTATAAGGCAGCTACGTGTTCATCGGGCCCCGTAGTGGTCAGGGAGGTTTATATGGAAGTAAATGCTTCATTGAACTGTTTTGCAATTTGCAGCAATGCTATTATTTGGAATGAATCAGTACAATCTTAAAGTGCGTATAAGAAATAATATGTTGACTCAAAAAAAAAAATCTCCTGTTACTCCCAAATTTCGTATTGTGATTTGGCTGGATGTGTGGCAACACGTATCAGTTCAGGATGTTTCCCATGTTCCCCTCCCCCAGCAGTTGTTTCTGATCCTGGAAGAGATTATTCCCAGGGTCACAGGATTAACAGCCATGCAGGTGAGAGGGCTTCATTGCTAGCTGTTTTGCGAGCACCAGCTTCACTGATGCAAGAAGGAGGAGAGCCACTGAAAAGACGTTTTAAGTGGATTCTGATGTGATGAAACACTGGTCAGAAGGAAGTATCTGAATAAAGTAAAGAGAACAGTAAGAAAAGTAATACAATAGGGACTAAATAATGCAGGCATCTCGAAGCCATATGATTTCTCATGTGGCCTTGTGACACTTCCAGTTCTGCTACCTACAAAACAATTAATCCGTTTCAGCTGTTAGCCTGCCCAATCCCACAGATTCAGTGCAGTTTACAATACACAGGTGTCAGAAAAAAACTCCCTTGTTTCATGCAAATTTCAAATACACTTAATGCTTTTTATTATTTTTCATTTATTTGGGTTTCAAAGGGAAGCACATTTCTGTTCTAGCAGTTAGGTTTTTCATTTTAAATGAAACGTTAATCTTAAAAGTGTGAGCAATCCTGCAAAACTGAAGACAGAATACACAGAATACACAGGTTGGGTCTGGGGTCCCCACCAGGGTTGCCAGCCAGTGGCCAGCACTCAGCAGGAGACTGGGAGGGCACCATCACACCACTGTATGATTCATGGACACTCTATGCAAAACCATACCACAGAGGTTGTTAGCCAGAGGTGCTGCCTTACTATAGGGTAGCCCCAGATACCCACAAAAGTCAGGCCAAAGAAAGAGCAAGCCAAAGCTCTGGGAAAAGGCTCTCCATTTTCAGGTTTCATAAGTGTCCCCCCACCCGAAAGATATGAATAAGAAACAATAATGAGTTCCATCAGGTATCTGCATTTCTAAAGCTATTCAGAGGCCACCTGATGAATAGTCCTTCTGTCTCCAGAACGTCATCTAGCCCTTTTTGTCTATGTGAGAATCCTTTATCTCCAAAGTTGTCTTTCCTGCTCCATCCCTCAGGATACTGAGGTAAACCAATCATACATTCAAATGTATAGCAATCCTTCCTGGCTTCTATCAGGGACCCATCTCCCACCTTTTGTGTAAATCCAGGAAACCATTCAATCTACCTTGGCCAAACCATCATTGGCCATCAAGACCCATTCAACTAGCCATCCAGCACCTGGCTAGACCCATCAAGGCTATTGTGCAGCTAGACTCTGTCCCTCTGGGATTCCATTGGTCACACCTGAATTACACTCTGCCTGGTACTACACCTCCATGGACTTCTTATTGGTCTAGAAAATCTATTGTTCTCACCTGAGTCCAGCCCCAAGGCCTCCCATTGGTCTGCATTGTTTTCCAATGTCTATATCTGTCAGAGCACATGGCCTCAGATTTTGTGTGTCTGCCCTGATGTTAACTGGCAGTTCACCCCTAAACTTTTGGTTTGGGCTGTAGTCTAATCTCTATGGACCCTTGAACATCTGGACAGGTTGTATTACCCCGTAACTGACTCCTCTATTCACTATCAAATTTTTAAAAACATTTTTATTGCTTTTCTAAACTATAAAACTACAGGGTTGGGGGATGGAAACAACCTAAAATTAAGAGTAACAAGGATCCTTAATACAAAAATTTTAAATTGTTGATACATCCTTATTATCAAAGTAGTAAAGCACGAGAGTTAATAATATAAAAATATCAAATTAAAAAGCACAAACATCTTTGACTGTAGTGTGTGCATCTTAGCTTTAAATTTATATGTTAACAATGGACATCAGACTATCAAATTTAATCTATTTTGGTTGTTTCTTTCCTCCGTGCTTCTTATCAAAGTCCAATTTAATTTTTCACTGTTTAGGGGAAGCAACCCCTAATTCTGCTTCAGTATCCAAAGACTCTGCCAAGCTGCTCGAAGAGGTATCAGAACTTTCTCCAGCTTTATCTTCTTCTTCTTCTTCTTCTTCTTCTTCTTCTTCTGCATCTTTGTTATCCTCCACTTTCTCAGATCCATCTGTCGCTTTCTATTGTTGCTCCAGGAACATTTTCGCTTTATGAACAGAGTCAATCTTTTCTTTTTTTTGCCGTTGAAGTTGAAGATAAGGCCTTCTGGTACTATCCATCTGTAAGGAGTGGTATTTTTTTGCAAAAACAATGCTAAGTCTCTGTACTGTCTCCTTTTCCTAATTTCAAATGGAAAATCTTTTAAAACTTTAATTTGTTCTCCTTCGATTTTCAAAACATTTTGGTTAGTTGCTTTCAAAATTATATCCCTTGTGGACCTTTTTGCGAATTTCACGTATACTTCCCCGGGTAGCTTGTTTTTTTATATAAATTCTGGATACGTATGGTAAACTAGATCAATATCACTTTGTAGAGTTTCTGCTGTTAAGCCTAACACGGGAGCTAGCTTTTGACTTAAAATCTCTTTCAGATTCTCATCTTTCTGCTCTGGAATGTTTTGAAATCTCACGATGTACGCTAATTTCTCCATTTGAAGAAGTAACAATTGCTGATTCCCAGCGATTTTCTCTTTTTCCACAAGCTCCAGTCTTTGGTCTTAACATCAACTTTTTTCATCTTCTGGGCTACCTTCTCTGTTTTTGCTGAAGTTTCTTTGAGCTCCTTTTGCAATGTATCAAACTTGTCATTAAGATTGGTCAGCTGGCGTAAAGCTGCAGCAATCATTTTTGGAACGTCTGTGGTTATTTCCGGTTTGGTAGCCGGGGATGATGTGCTGGCAGTTCCTGTTATAAGTCCTTTTGTGGATCAAAAACTGGCTGATTAATAGGAAACAGAGTTACTATAAATGGACAATTTTCTCAGTGGAGGGTAGTAAGCAGTGGGGTACCGCAGGGATCAGTACTCGGTCTGATGCTTTTTAACTTGTTTATTAATGATTTGGAGTTGGGAGTAAGCAGTGAAGTGGCTAAATTTGCAGATGACACTAAGTTGTTCAGGGTGGTGACAACCAGGGAGGATTGTGATGCACTCCAAAGGGATCTGTCGAGGATGGGCGAGTGGGCGTCAACGTGGCAAATGGGGTTCAATGTGGCCAAGTGCAAAGTGATGCACATTGGAGCAAAAAATCTGAAATTTAAATACATGTTGATGGGGTCTGAACTGGCAGAGACTGACCAAGAGAGAGATCTTTGAGTTGTAGTAGATAACTCAATGAAAATGTCGAGACAGTGTGTGACTGCAACAAAAAAGGCCAATGCTATGCTTGAGATTATTAGGAAGGGAATTGAAAACAAATCAGTCAGTATCATAATGCCCCTGTATAAATCAATGGTACGTCCTCATTTGGAATACTGGGTAC